CCAGGGCTGCACAGTGGGATCCTCCACTGCTGCACCCGAGGAACTTGTGTCCTAGTGATGGGACACGAGGGAATGGCTTCAGAGGGCAGGGTTAGGTGGGATATTGGGAAGGAATCCTTTCCTGGGAGGGTGGGGAGGCCCTGGCACAGGTTGCCCAGAGAAGCTGTGGCTGCCCCTGGATCCCTGGAAGTGTCTGAGGCCAAGTTGGAGCAACTTGGGCTAGTGGAAGGTGTCCCTGCCCATGGCAGGGCGTGGAACTGGGTGAGCTTTTTAAGATCCCTTCCCACCTGAACCATTCCATGATCCTTCCCCAGCACACACCTGAGGCCAGGGACATCCCAGTTTTAAACACCCACTGGTGAAGCTGCACCAAAGCCCCTCTGCCCCTACAGAGAGGAGCTTTGGGGTGCAATGGGGTGCCAGGGCCAGGTACCAGCTCTCACAGTGCCCCCTCCATCCCTGCACAGCACCTGGCCCCTCATTATCCAGCCCTTCCCTGGAATTAGGTGGGAGGTTGCTGTTAATCAGCTACAAACGATTAAGTCATTGGCCGAACCACTCTCCTGCTACTTTTGCAAGGAATTAGGCCTCTATAAAATCAAGCAGCATGAATCTTAGAGATTTACACGGTGCTTTTTTAACAGTTTTCAGTATATTTCAATAGTTAATAAAACTAAATGCTGCTTTGTGTAAAAGGTAATAGATTACAATCGGGTGTATTTTACTAGCACTCAGTGTGTTCATCTAACACCTCATACGTTCACGTTGGAATCCATGAAAAGCACTTTGTGGAGATTAAAAGCAGATTTATCACAGATGTGCCCCAGCATTATGCTTGGCTTGAACCATTAGACTCCTGGAGTTTAAAGGTTAGACTTTAATGACTTCAAGGAAGTCGGTTGCTTTTTAAGGCTTTAAATAAGCAGCCTGGATAGTCCCGGCATTCCCAAACAGGGCCGACTGGTTACGGGCTGCTCCGAGTTCCCCCGGCCCTGTCTGCTCCGTGCAGAGCTTGGGAGCAGACACAGCTCAGGAGTTTGGCCCTCATGCAAATTAATAACAAGTTATTTACCAGATGAAAGCGTTGCCTTGAAAACTGTGCTCCCCACACCTCGGAAGGATGGGAGGGATGAGCTGCGAGTTGAGCTGCCTGATTGTGGAATCCTGGAATGGTTTGGGTGGGAAAGGAGCTTGATTGTCATCCAGTTCCACCCCGTGCTCTGGGCAGGGATACCTTCCACCAGCCCAGGTTGCTCCAAACCCCGTCCAACCTGGCCTTGGACACTTCCAGGGATCCAGGGGCAGCCACAGCTTCTCTGGGCAACCTGTGCCAGGGCCTCCCCACCCTCACAGGGAGGAATTCCTTCCCAATATCCCATCTGTCCCTGCCCTCTGTCCCTCCATCCTTTGTCCCAAGTCCCTCTCCAGCTCTCTTGGAGCCCCTGTAGGCCCTGGAACTCTCAGGTCTTGGATATGGGTATGGGTATGGGTATGGATATGGATACAACATCTCCCAGGTAGCTGCAGAGCCAGGAAGATGCTCCTATAACAAGACACCACCAAGCAAAGCAGAACAAAGTTTCTGCAGGTTTTTTTTTTCCTCCTTTGAGTGCTGCACAGCCCATAAATACAAGCAGTGTTAAAATACAAGCAGCATCCCCTCCCTCCCTGCTCTCCTCCTCCGCCAGCAGCCGGCTCGCCGCTCTCCGGAGTTTGTTTGTTGCCCTCGGAGACACGGCTGACAAGCATCACAAGCTTTGAAAGTCAATTGCTCACTGGAGTTGAAAATGTGTTTTCAGGTATCTGGCTGATAGGTCCTCCTCGAGGAGGATGTGGCTGGAATGCCAAGTGAGGCGCTGCCGGATCCGGCCCCTCGGGCGGCGGGAAGGGGAGATTGCTCTGCCCGATGTGATAAAACGCTGCGGCTCCGAGTGACCACAGGATCTGCAAAGTCCTTGTTCACCGAGGTGATAAGGGTGGAACAGTTTATATTTAAAAGCTCTATAAACTTTTGGCTCCTGGAGGAATGACTTTGGATGAAAATGGGTCACAGAGTCACAGAATCACAGGGTGGTGGAGGTTGGAAGGGACCTTAAAGACCATCCAGTCTCACCCTCTGCCATGGACAGGGACACCTTCCACTAGCCCAGGTTGCTCCAAGCCCCATCCAACCTGGCCTTGGACACTCCAGGGATGGGGCAGCCACAGCTTCTCTGGGCAACTTGTTCCACCAGCAAAGTCCGAGCATCTCCCTCAGGGGGACACAGCCTGGGCTGCAGGAGCAGCAGCAGTGATGGAAGTCATGGCAGGAAAGGGATTCAGCTTTCCCGGGGATGGTGATGGACCCCTGGCCCTGTCCCAATACCCCCCTTGGCTCTGCCTTGGCCTTGGCACTGAGAGCCCAGCCGTGTTTGGCTCCAGTGGGGTCCAGAGGTGTTGTGATGCTCAGAGGAGACACCTGGACAAGTTCCATCACCTCTCCAGGGGATGCAGCCCCGGGCTCCGGGCACTTGGGTGAAGCTTGTTGCGATGCTCCAGACCTGCCTGTGTCCTCTGTGTGGAGTTTGCAGAGCAGAGCCCGGATCACCATCACCTTCCTGCCTCTCCACTGGGAGCAGAGCCCGGAGATCCGGCGGCTGAGCCGAGCTGTGCCCGCGGCCGCTGCACCCGGGAGCGAGCGCTGGGGGGAATATTGCAGCAAACCAGCCGAGCGTGTTTGATGTGGTTTAAATTAACCTCGATTGCTGTCTAATATTTTAAAAAGACACTTTTTATAACACGCGGGAATAATGTAGGAGAACTAATGTTCCCTCATGAAATGCCTTTCAGAATAATGATAAAAGTGCACTTTAATCTGCTGTGAGAAGTCTCCGTGAGGGAGAGACGTCACACGGACAGGTGGAATCGTGGAATAAATACAATAATTAATGAGAAGGAAGGATTTGCATCTTCTGACTTTTCCACAACACCTGCTCTTTTTTTTTATTTTATTTTTTTATTTTCCGAGCAGCTTTATTTTGTTTGCTGGGGGTTCAGGATTCTGGCCCCCTGGTTATGAAGTTACACTTTCAAAGACTGTAAAATGTCAGGGAAGCAGCGCATGGGAACTGAGTGCTCCATTAAGTTTTCCCTGTGAAATTAAGCACCTTTATTGCCTTAAATGAGAGTTACAGCCTAATGATGGACCGATGCAAATCTCCATCAGCGTCCCCGAGCCAAGGGCTGGTTCCCACCGCCGAGGGCAGGGAGGTGCTGCTGGAACAGGGAGCAGGGAACGGTCCCAGCCTGGTCCTTCCCTGCCCAGTGCCACATTCCAGTGGGAAGGAGCCCAGTCCTGTGGGAACAGGGAAATAAGGTGTGCCAGGAGTGGGGCAGGAGGGGTGCTGGCTGCTCCATGGGGCAGCAGTGTGATCCCTGGCTTGGGGGCCAAATCCTGCTCCTATGTCCCCATCCCAGCTTCCCACAGAGCCTTCACTGACCGGGATGGCTCCCACCTCACCCCAAGGACCTTGGTGGCTGCTGACACTGCCAGCAAGCTGTGCCCACACTGGTGTCACCCCCAAACACCCCCATCACCCCCAAACACCCCCATCACCCCCAAATATCCCCATCACCCCCAACCATCAGCATCCCTGGAATGGTGTGGGTGAGCAGGGATGGAGGTGGCAGCAGAGGCCACCCCAGTCTTGGCTGCCAGAGAAGTGCTGCCAAAGCTCCCACTTCCCTGTATCAATCCCCCCTCCTCTTCCCCACTTACACACTCAATTTATAGGAATTTTATGTCTTATTCCGGTGCCGGGCGTGGGCTGAGCTCTCCTGTTTGCCACACGTTTTGTTGGATTGTTAACACATCAGACAGGCACCCAGGGGAGCTGCAGTTCACATCCATCTCCCTGGTGCAGGTGCTGAGCCTGGAGTTGTGGGTGGGGTGAATCCAGAGAAACCTCTTCCTACATCCCAGCCACAGCAGCAGTGAGCCCATGGACCCCACGGAGCTCCGTAGGGAATGAGGAGCATTTCTATCCAACATCATTCCCCGGTTCATGGCTGTGCCACACGTTGTGTGTGGAATTCCTGGTGTTATTGTGGTCTCTGTTATCGGACTGTCCAGGTGTGAATCTGCTGGAAATTCCTGAGCACAGGATGAAGAGCAGTAGCTGCGTTTCTCGGGTGGCTCTTGCTGGATGGGGTGTGTGTGGTGCTGCCCTCCCTTCATGAGCTTTCCCACAGGTGTTTTCCATTGTGGTGGCATGAAGAGAACACTTGCTGGGGGAGCTGCTGTGTCTGCAGCCTCCAGAGTATCCATAGATGCCTGTTTCCATGGGGCAAAGGTGGTTCAGGGAGAGCAGAGGGATGACAGGAGACACAGCTGGTCCTGTGGGTCTGTCAGGAGAGAGGGGAAAGGGATGGGAGATGGGACACAGCCAGGAGAGAGGATGCAGGTTGGTGTTTGCTTCCCAGGGTGGAGATGGGACCTTTCACAGGCCCCAGGGATGAGCACCCCTGGACCGAGGGTCCCACCGAGGGTCCCACCTCTGCCTGTGAGTCCCCACCAGGCAGATGTGGGACCTGGGATGGGGCTGGGTACAGGGTGAAGGGGTCCCAGGTCCCAGGCAGGGTTCTCAAGCGCCAGGTGGGGATCCCAGGTCCCAGGCAGGGCTTCCAGATCTCAGGGTTCCCATGGAGGGGTCCCAGATCCCAGGTGGGGATCCCAAGTCCCAGGCAGGAGTTCCAGGTCTCAGTCAGGGGTCCCAGCGTGGCTTTCCCAGTGCACAGGAGCCCGTGGGCAGCACAAACCCAGCGTGGAGCAGAGCCCAGCGAGGCCCTGAGGGAGCTCACTAAATGTTTCGTTAACTCACCGGGTTACAAAAAACAGGAGAAAAAGAGAACAATAAAAAAGCCGAGTTTTCCTTGGCGGTGCTGCCGGGAAGTGCTGACAAAGCTGCTCCTGACAAAGCCCAGCGGGAGGGGGGAACTGTCTCTTTGCTCTGCCTGTCTCCCGCTGAACAAGGATCACTTTTAATGGGCTGAATACATACAACACACAGCTGACAACAAAGATGTTCGACTAACCTAACACGAGAGGGAAACAGCAACAGCACACAGTGAGTAATTAGAATCTAATTAATTTGCATTTCACAAGAGAGGCAGAGATGTCAGAGGGAAAAAAAAAAATATTCCCCGAGATTAAAGGGCTGCTGGAGGAGAGCGAGGGGGTGAGTGGGAACACTCCCAGCGCCGGGACCGACACGCAGAGCCGGTCGGGATGGGCAGGATTAAACGGGAGCAGGTGGGGAGATGACAGGTCTGGGAGCTGCGGCCAACAAAGGTGTCTGCGGGTCAGCAGAACTGCGCCGAAAATACCCGAACTGCAACTTTCGCTGTGCAACAGCATCCCTGGCCTGGCGGGAGCCTTCCCCCCGCTGCTCCGCGGCCCTGCCAGAGGAAATGAAGGGAAAAAAAGCCCCAAGGTGACGGCGCGGGGAGAGGATCCAGCCCGGGAGCTGCGGGAAGGAGGCAGGCGTGGCTCAGAGCCTGGCACGGCCACAGCGGCCGCGGCCCCCCGGCCCGGGCAGCTCCTTCCCCAAATTAGTGCTCGCAGTATGTTAATCTCTATGTTCAACACCCTATTTCCTAACGCTGGCTGTTCCCGTGAGGCAAAACATCCCGGATCTACATAACATCAAGGGAAGATTTACAGCTCGTTTCCATAATGATGACACCAGGCAGAGGGTTGTGCTGTCAGAGATGCTGGCGCAGCCACACGAGCCCTGAGGAGGGAAAATAACCCTCACCCCCTGTAGTGCTCCGTGATTATAATCCCTGCCTGCACCCCTGCCTGCACCCCTGCCTGCATCCCTGCCTGCATCCCTGCCTGCATCCCTGCCTCCCCACCCCATGGCTCCCCATGGCTCGGCTCCCTGGTGGGAGTGGGTGTGAAGGATGGGGAGGCACAGAGGGAAATTTGGGCAGTTCAATTCCAACAGCCCCAGGAGGGGCTGCAGGGAAGTCGAGGGTCTGCTGAGCCCCCAGACAGGAAGTTCCTTTGGATTTCATGGAATCCCAGAATGGGTTGGGCTGGAAGAGACCTTAAAGCCCATCCAGTCCCACCCCCTGCCATGGGCAGGGACACCTTCCACCAGCCCAGGTTGCTCCAAGCCCCGTCCAACCTGGCCTTGGACACTTCCAGGGATCCAGGGGCAGCCACAGCTTCTCTGGGCAACCTGTGCCAGGGCCCCCCCACCCTCATAGCCAAGAATTTCTTCCCAATATCCCACCTAACTCTGCCCTCTGGCAGTGGGAAGGCATTCCCTGTGCCATCCCTTGTCCCCAGTCCCTCTCCAGCTCTCCTGGAGCCCCTTTAGGCCCTGGAAGGGGCTCTCAGGTCTCCCCGGATCCTTCTCTTCTCCAGGTGAACTCCCCCAGCTCTCTCACATCTTGGAGATTTTGGGGCAGGAGGAGCAGGTGCTGTTCCTGACATTCCCTTGTCTGGGCCAGGATATTCCATCCCAGCCAGGGATGCCTCCAGCCCAGCACTGCTGCTTTCAGACCCACTTCCTGGGCTCCCTTTGCTGTCACTGTCACAAGCCCCACGTCCCACACCGGGGAGGAACATCTGGCACATCTGCACGTGGGGTGGTTGCTGACAGGGGGCTCGGTCCCTGCTCCCCCCCCAGAACCAGCAAGGCAGGAGCAGGAGATGCAAACAAAACCCAAATGCAACCAAAATCAGATGCAAACAAAATGCAAATGTGAAACTTCGTGCAGGCAGCCGGGCCTGGGGGGGGTCTGGACACAGGCAGAGGGTGGAGGGGGGTCCCCAGCCCAGCCCCCCCAGAGCAGCAGTGCTGGGGCCCGAGGAAGCAGCTGGAGAGGATGCAAATGGGGGGAATCACCCCGGGGAGAGCAGCTCCGGGGTCACGGCGCTGAGGGGACAGGGAGGGGAAAGCCCAGGAAGGCAGAGGAGGAGCTGGGGGAGCAAACCCAGCCTCATGTTTCCTTCCCACAGCAAGGGCTCCAGCTCCCAGGGCCCCCCCTGCCCCACCTCGGGGCAGCTCCAAGGTTGTCTTCCCTTTTCTTCCAACAGTGCCTTGCCCTCCAATTTCAGCTCGTGTTTGCAGCACCAAATCAGCTCTGTAAACACGCCGAGGGGGGATTTATTTTTTCTTGAAAGCAAAATAACTAAACAGCACATCAGAGGGAAGGCATTTAACTCAGTCGGCTCCTTTCCTTTGTTGGGAATCAAAGTGATGATGATTTGAGCAGGTTTCTTCCCGGCAGCCCACCCACCCCACGGTGGGGAACGTGCTGCAAACGCTGCCTGAGCTACGTCAGCTCGCCCAGAGACCAGATTTTGGGGTGAGTGGGGAAGGCTCCCTCTTTAATTGCCATTTCCACATCCCAGAGCAATTGCAGGCAGCACAGCTGGCTCGGTGCAGTGGGGATGCACATGCCCTGCTCGGGTGCTGTTGGGAGGGATGCAGAGCCCAGGGATGTCCCACCCAGGCACTGGAGCATCCCCAGCAGCACAGCCCAGGCCGTTTTTAAGGCTCCATCCTTTCTTTCCTCCTCGGGCAAAACAAAGCAACCCCAAAGCCAACCCCTCCCGCTGAAGCCAAAGCTGTTGAGCACACAAACACCCTCTCTGCCCTATCTGGAGTCCCCGGGCACTCAGCCACGGGGAACCAGCCCATAATTTGCACTGGGAGCTCTGCAGCAGCCTTGCCACAATGTGATGAGGTCGTGAGTCATCCAACCACTGAAACCATCTAACCAGGGCCTGGATCACTCACAGGCTGGGAAAGGAACACACAGGCACTCAGGGTTTGGGGGAACTCTTTTCCCTGAGGAGAGCTGGAAGCTGGTGGGATCCCTGGCATGGAAAAGCCAAGGCACGGAGCCTCCTGTCCTGAGGAGTTCAATGCCTCCTGCCCCAGGGGCATCAGAAGGGCTGCAGAGGGGCAGCTCTCCCCTGACAGCCCCTGCAAACAGCAAACACATCTCCTGCCCTGGGAAAAAGGGGACATGCATCTCTTGGAAATACCACATTCCAAAAAAAACACGTGGATTTGGCTTTTGGGGACAGGGTTTAGGGCTGAGCGTGGCAGTGCTGGGGGGATGGTTGAGCTCGATGGTCTTAGAGGGCTTTTCCAACCTTAATTATTCCATGATTTGGCAGGGAGAGGTGAGGGCTTGCTGTGGGTTTGCAGCAGTGCTTTGCTGGTGGCTCCTGCCTCAGGAAGGTGATGTGGGAATGGGCTCAAGCCCTGCAAACACTGGTGTGAGCACAGCGCTGGGCAGTGTGTCCTGGGGACAGGTGAGTGGCCAGGCATCACCCCCAGGACGTGCCAGGTTCCAAACCAGCTCCCCAGAAAGCTGCCGGAGCTGGCAGCTGGAAAACACGGCAGAGAAATCCCCCTGCCAGTCCCGGCCCAATTACAGCCCCGTCCTTCAGGGACGTTTGCAAACAAACCAAAGAAGATGAAGGATTGATAGATTGATTTGATGCCGGGCTCTCCTGACAGCGCGAGCCCGGCTGTGATCCATCCCCTCCTCTGGGAGCCGGGGCTGATGTAATTCATTGTTCCCATCTCGCTTGTCACCGTTCTGCTCCGGAGCAATCAGGGCTCAGAACTCGGGGAAGTTCCCAACCCGCCGCTGTGATTCGCCCGCAGATTTGTCACTTCACTAAAGACCCAAATTACCCCCGTTTAGGAAGCGGATCCGCTGCTCGAACCTGCACGAGCTGCTGCCGCTGCCGGGATTAGGGATTCACGGCGGTAATTATGTTAATGTTGATGTGCAGACGGATAACTGGCAGCAAGGAGTTGTGCTGAAACGTCTATTTATAGTTCAGGGGGAAAAAAAAATAAACCTCGTCGTCTCCAGGCAAACATATGGGCTCTGTGGCAGACGGATTCAGCGGGAGATGAACGGGAAAGGGGAGAAGGGAATGGGATGGGAGCCGGGCAAGTCCCGGGAGCCGGTGCCCGCTCAGCTGATCCAGGGGTGGGAGAGGGTGGATTTTGGGATGGGTATCTCGGTGGCACCCTGTGCCCCTGAGGGATGGGCTGAGCATCCTGCCCCAAGCTCAGGCTGCCAACCAGCCTTGCTCTGCCCCCAAATCAGCCCCTGGGATGTGGGAAGGCAGCTGAGAGTAGGGAGCTTGTGTAGAGGGCACCAGGATGTCCCAGAGATCTGGGATACCCTGAACCCACGGACACCTTAATCACTCCTACCTAGGGGCACATGGCAGCCTGAGGGGAGGGTCACCAGCCCTTGGGCTCCCCCGAGGTCGTGGGAGGGCGTTGGGATGTCCCAGAGTCCACTGAACCCACTGGCCTCGTAATCACCCCCCAAGGAGAAGGTCACCAGCCCTCAGGCTGCCCCACGGCCACGAGCCCCTCACTGAGCACCCCCAGGCTCCACCAGACACCCCTTGAGCCAGGCAGTGCCTCCATCCCGTGGGAACACCAGAGAAGCCACCCAGTGCCCCCACTGTGTTACAGACACCCCCAAACTCCAGCCCTGGCACGGGAGATCCTGTACCCAGCTCCCAGCAGGACGCAAGATTTAAATCTGGAGCTGTGTGCTGAATTCCAGGGGGCCGTCAGTCAGCTCTGGGAGGTGTTTGGAGCAGACAGATTTACACAAACACTCCCAGCTCAGCAGACCCAGCCCGGTGTCTTTTATACCAGGAGAGGAGGGAATAAATCACCGCTCCCTTCCCCCCCCTCCCACCACACGGAAATTTCTCCCAGACATCTTTCAAGCAGGATCACAGAGAGTTTTATTTACCGTGGAATAAAAACAAAAGCCCCAAAGCACCAGGGGATTGTGCCTGGCCATGAGTGACGGGCCACCCCGGCAGGCTCTGCAAGGAGGAGGGAGCCTCCCTCATCCAGCACACCAATCCAGCCCCACGGCCCCACGGAACCCTGGAATAATTGGGTTGGAAGCAATATTAAAGCTCAGCTCATTCCACCTCCTGCCATGGGCAGGGACACCTTCCACCAGCCCAGGTTGCTCCAAGCCCCGTCCAACCTGGCCTTGGACACTCCCAGGGATCCAGGGGCAGCCACAGCTTCTCTGGGCAACCTGGGCC